TTTTTTCAGCGCGATCTTTAAGAATCCTTCATAATATATTTTTTAACAATTTTCTTAGGAATATATTTTTTTTATTAGGTATGTACAATTTTTTATTGTGTATAAAAAAATCGTTAAGCCCTGTTCCAAACATACCGTCAGTTTATTAAAATGAAATAAAATTAATTTACTTATTTAATTTTAATAATATTGATAATTGAGTTACAGTCATTTACTTTGTTTTTAGTTAAATATTTAAAATTATTGTCCGATATAATGGGTTAATTCTATTTTGCTGTTATACTGTCACTCAGCTGACTGCCGCATACTATCTCATTTTTGTGCATTAACATTCACAAAACCAGAATTTTGGCTGCGTTAATTGTCAAAAACAAAAATTAGTTGGTCCAAAGCATTCCGATAAGCAAGTCGTCGTTTCGGTTGAAAAATTTTAGCAATTGTTATGGTGGGAATTGAGTGCATGAAATAGTAAATGTTCACGATTGCCTCTTCATTTTATTCAATATTGTATGCTAAACTGTCACCCTCTATTGTAAAATAAATATTGTGATCTGCATTGAAAACGATAAATCATAAGCTTTTTTGTAATGTGTAACCCAACCACACACAGAACTTCGTGAAGTAATCATCTCTCGGTGTAACAAATCTGCAGTTTCAAGGCTGCCTAAAACGTCTGTGGTTGATTGGATAAAAAATTTAAAAACTTTATATCACAAGATCGAATTTTTAGTGCACTTAATTGCGGCAAATCAACAGACAGAATGGAAACTTTATCATCAAGCTCTGTAAGTAATTAAAACTGAAAAAAAAAAATGAAGAAAAAAAATCAACTATATATGTATATACCCATTTATTAAAAATTGTTTCCTCATAAGAAAACAACAGTATATATAAAAATATATATATTTTTTTTTAATTGCTTTGCTGAAGTGTCTGCGAATGCTAAAAAACGTAAAAATAAGCTAAGTTCTAACACCATCTAAAAGAGAACAAAAGCATAATCAGCAACGCTTTTTTTCAAACTCATATTTCTGTATGACGTTTGTAAATCTTTAATCAAGAGATTTTATTTTAAAATCAAAAATTAGCAAAACAGAATTGGTTATCTCTGTATTTGGGCTGCCATTTTAGAGATCAAAGGTGGTCAAATCTTATTTTGCGAAACAAGAATACCAACTTAATATTTAATATTTAATAATTTCCGATCCATTTGCAGTTTGTGGATGTGAAGATTCCGGCTCCTTGGGGTTACATATCAGGACGTTGGTATGGTAATCGAACGGATAGACCTATCTTGGCAATACACGGTTGGCTGGACAATTTGGGAACCTTTGAGCAACTGATTCCGCTGCTACCGGATTACATAGGAATGCTCTGTATCGATCTGCCCGGACATGGAAGATCTTCTCGATTTCCAGCGGGCGTGCACTATAACGTCTACGATTACGTGTTCATCATTCCCAGGGTGATGAAGGAGCTTGGCCTGTCAAAGGTCGCCCTAATGGGTCATTCTCTGGGTGGCGTGATGAGCTTCATGTACGCGGCAATGGCGCCCAGCACTGTGGATTTCGTTATATCACTGGATGTACTGTTGCCTCGCAGAATCGAAGATCCCAGTAAGCTAACCAGGGATATAGAAGGATATATGGTGGAGGAGAAGCGACAGGCAGATGGTACCCAGCCCGAACCACCCTCGTTTACGTTGAGTAAAATGCGCAATGTCCTGGCCAAGAGCAGCAATAACTCGATTCCTCACAACCTGGCCGATCACATGCTCCACCGCCAGGTGGCCAAGTCACAGATTTACCCGGAAAAGGTGTACTTTTCGAGAGACGGACGCGTTAAGTTCTACCACATATTCGATATTGAAAACGGTCTGGCCGCCGAAATGGCGAGGCGTATTCAAAAGAAACCCTATCTGGTCATCAAGGGATCCCTTTCGCCATTCGTTGGTCCCCGTTGCGACGAGGCCATGTCCATTCTGTCTCAAGATAATCCACACTTTGAGTTCTACGAGGTGGAGGGCGGCAAACACCATGTCCATCTTCATGCGGCCAAAGAATGTGCTCGCTATATCGTGCCCTTTATCCGCAAACACATACCTTCACAAAGCAGCAAATTGTAATGTAGATTTGAAACTACTACACTCTCATTTGTTATTTTTATAGGATTTTGTTGTTACTCTTTAAAATAGATTAATACTTGTTGTAAAAAATAAAAAAAAAATTAAAATAAAATCACAGACAAAAAGCAGAATTGGGTGCAGAGATGGCCAGCAAAAATAGGAAAGAAGCCCAACCTCATCACCAAGGGATCTTTCTCGCACTATTTGAGTCCCCGAAGTGACGAGGCCATTGCATTTTGGACCAGGGTAATCCACTATTTGAGTTATATGAAGAAGATGGAGATCACTTTCATTTGCAATTTCCCAAAGAGTGGGCAAAGTACATAGATCCCTTTATCCAGCAATATCATCCTGCGAAGCAAAAAAGACAGCAATATAGAGAAATGGAACCATTGGAAAGCACCTTTCGTATTTGTGAGCACTTTTTATATTTAATTTACCTTTTAAAAATTTTGGTCAGCATATTTCTCTGCTATGAAAAGGAAAAAAGTTACTTGGAACCTTTGTTAGAATTATAAAATCTCTTAACAATATTACATAAATTTTTTTCCACAGTTACTTGCTTTAAAGCATTTTTAAAATAAAACGGAATTACTAACACCATTCGCCCCGAGAAAGCCAAAAGCTTATTTCGCTCTTTAAAAGCTTTATGATTGTTTTGGTTTTGCGACCTAGGCGCAGTTTTTCTCAGTAGTCCAGCGGAATGCACGTGCTGTTTTAATAAACTTCAAAAACTAATAAAATGTTAAACATTTATTTAAGATAAGCATATAATAAACATATTTAACTGTGCAATTTTATAAAAGACTTATTTAAATTCATAAACCAATGCTAGATGATAAAAATGTTACCTTGCTCTCTTAATGTTTAGTTATCATAAGCTTTTAATATTTGAATCGCCGCTCTTACTTCGCTCTTTTTTTTTTAACTCTGTAATATAACGATCTCTCTTTTTCGATTCGAGTAGGTTATTAATGAAAAGAGTATGAAGATAATGAAATAGTTCTTGCATAGAAGTGAATGCGTTGGGTCGCATTTATAAAATAGGCTAACACATATATTTTGCAATATCACACAAGATAACAGCATCTGAGCTAAAACAATTATAATAAAATCGAGTTTGAAAGAAATGGGAAAATTATCGCTGAGTGATGTAAGTGAATCATAAGAACGGATTAAGGCGACCTTTGCTCGCCAATTATTAATTTGTAATCTAAGACAATGCCAAGTTAACGATTAGTTATTGGTCTAGACTCTAGAGTATTTTGCAATAACAGCATAATCATTCTTTAATTTTTCCAGTACGAGGCGGTGAAGATTCCTGTGCCTTGGGGCTTCATTTCGGGTCGGTGGTATGGCAATCGAAAGGAGCGACCTATACTGGCAATTCACGGATGGTTGGACAACCTGGGCACCTTTGACCGACTGATTCCTCTGCTTCCCGACTACATTGGAGTACTCTGCATCGATTTGCCAGGCCATGGAAGATCATCGCACCTTCAGCCGGGAATGTACTACAGTGTCTACGATTATGTGTTCATTATTCCGCGTGTGATGAAGGAGTACGGATGGTCAAAGGTCTCCCTGATAGGTCACTCATTGGGCGGTGTCCTCAGCTTCATTTACACCTCGTTGGCTCCTCACACAGTGGATATGGTCGTCTCGCTGGACATATTGCTGCCATTAAGGAACGATATAGAGTATATGGAACTGAGCATTGAGAAGCAACTGCTGGATGTTGACAGGCAGAAGCTGGGAAACTATACTGAGCCACCGTCTTACACTCTGCCTCAGTTGGAAAAAGTCATGGCGTTGGGAACCTTCAATTCCGTTTCCCCAGATCTTGCCAAGCATATGCTGCACCGCCAGTTGATCAAATCGAAACTATATCCCGAAAAATTCTACTTCTCCAGGGATATTCGTGTTAAATACTACCACCTTATAGATATCGATGATGGTCTAGGAGCAGAAATGGCAAGACGGATTTACAAGAAACCATTTCTTATTATAAAAGGTTCAAGGTCACCATATTTGCCACCTCGTAACTACGAGGCCATTTCCATTTTGGCAAAAGATAACCCACACTTTGAGTTCTACCAAGTGGAGGGCGGAACCCATCATCTTCATCTTCATGCCGCCGAGGAGGTCGCCAGCTACCTAGTGCCCTTCATCCAGCATCATCGACCTCCTGCCTTGAATTCCTGGACGATCGCAGGAAACGGGAATAGTATTAACTCAAAGAAAAAGAAAGGATTCTTAGCATGGACCAAGAAAAAAACCAGCAAGTTGTAAAACAAGTAAAGTACAAAATTTAGTCGCAGGTAAATCTAATTTCCTTCATATTGCTAAATAAAAACATTTAAAAACATTTGTTTGTTATGTACAAAATTGAGTCGCAAGTAAATCTAATTTCCTTCATATTGCTAAATAAAACCATTTCAAAATATTTGTTTGTTATGTAAACATACATACTTTTTTGTTACTAGTTTTTAATTTAACTTTAATTTTAATTTTTAACTGTTTTTCAAGTATAAATTTTCTAATACAAAAATGTATATGATTGTGTGTCATATTTATGTATACTTAAAGAACCATAACAAAAATGTAGTGTTGTAAATATTTTATTCTATTTGTAAGGCTAGTTTTAAGAATTTTAATAATAAAGAATATTACTTGACTAATAAAGTAAATGCTGGTTGCACATCTTGATGCTTACAATCATTACAAAAGGGTTATTAATTTCTGTATAGAAGATCTAACAATTGTTCTCTTCTAAATGTAAAGCTCTCTGTTGTAAAGCTCATTTTGTCATTCTCTTTTTTTGGAGGCCTAATAGCTGAGTGAAAGTGATAAAGCAAATCAGTCGTTGAACAACTGTTCGAGCTGTAAGAATTACAATTTAGGTATAGTAAGTCCCGAATTTTAATCAGATACTCAAGATTATAACTGGAAGTGGTGCCACACTTACCGGACCGAGTCTAAAAATTGTCGACGGGCAAAGTTCAGAAGGCAGTCAGTCTGGATGGGAACTTTGTCATTGAGTGATGTGAGTAGGTAAACACCTAAACAATAAACCAAAAAAAAGAGATAAGCAGAACTTGCCCCTACTAAAGTTGTGTAACTGCGCAATGATTTTGAAATCACCAATATATGTCAGTGTTCCAGGTCCACTTTAAAATTCAATTATTTTAATGAAATATTTAAAATTGTTTGTAAGCTGATTATTAATAACATTTTTTTAATTTTTATATATATTTTCACAACATTTAATAGTATAAGGAGGTAAAAATCCCTGTACCTTGGGGTCACATTGCTGGACGTTGGTATGGCAATCGAAAGGAGCGACCGATCTTGGCAATCCACGGATGGTTGGACAATTTGGGCACCTTCGATCGGTTGATTCCCCTACTTCCCGACTATATAGGAGTACTCTGTATCGATCTTCCTGGACATGGCAAATCCTCTCGAATTCAGCCAGGGATGCACTATTCCATCTACGATTACGTAATCATCATTCCGCGCGTGAAGAAGGAGTACGGATGGTCAAAGGTCTCCCTAATGGGTCACTCCTTGGGTGGCATCATAAGTTTCCTTTATACTTCACTGGCTCCTCATACTGTGGATATGGTAATTTCCCTGGACATTGTGATGCCTATGACACCAGAACCTAAAAAGGTAATTGGTAGTCTAGTTCAGACCATAGAAAAGCATCTGGAAGTTGAAGATCGTCAGGAGAAGATAAATCTACACGAGCCGCCCTCCTACACAATGTCTCAATTGACCGAAATCCTTGCCAAAGGAAGTTCCAATTCCGTGCCACCCGAGTTGGCCAAGCACCTTCTTCATCGTCAGCTGTCGAAGTCGCAACTTTACCCAGAGAAGTACTACTTCGCCAGAGATGGACGGGTGAAATTCTACCATCGCACACAAATGGAACCTGGACTCACTGAGGAATTGTCAAAGCGAATCAAAAAGAAGCCCTACTTGATCATAAAGGGATCAAAGTCTCCAATGATTGGAGTTCTAAGCGAGAGGCCATTGTCCATTTTGCGTGAAAATAATCCGCACTTTGAGTTCCACGAGCTGGATGGAGGTACCCATCATGTCCATCTGCATGGCGCCGAGGAGTGTGCCCGGTATATAGTACCCTTCATCCGACGTCATCGACCGCCAACCTTGACTTCTTGGTCTTTAACCGCAAAGGAGCATCAACTTAACGCCAAAGAAAATCGCAGGCAACAAGAAAGATTCCTTGAGAGGAGGAAAAACAATCACAGCAAACTATAAAGTATTTTATAATATAAGTATTGATTTTTCCAATCACTTGACAATTTCATTAGTTTAATTAAAAAAATTCAGATCACAATATAATAAGAGGTTAAGCCCTACAGACTAAAGTCACTGTCTTCAGCTGATCAAGATCACATATAACTACATTAAATGATTTTATGCTAACTAAAAACTTAAATAAGTTGCTATTAACTGACAAGTAAAATCATTCAAGTAAACCTAAAGATCATGTTTGTATCTCTTGCTCAACTTAAAATTGAATATTAAAATAATACCACAGGTGCTATAATAACTTGAATTTCCATTAAAAACAAAAGCTTCTAAAATTCTTTCAATAAGTAAAATTGATTTTATTCTCTTTAAAAATGTTTTTATACACTCTTAAGGTTCTCTTATTCTCTGAACGATTAGTTCTCTTTCAGATTCTCTCTTTAGTTAGCTTTTAAAGCGAAAAAATTGATATTGCGAATTAGTCGATGAACAACTGTTGCACGTGAAAGAAGTACAATTTTTATTCCCGAAATGTCATTGTAAAGTCAGCATTTTGGGCTATAAACATAAGATAGTACTGGACGAGACACCACAATTGCTGGATCAAGTCTAAAAGTGGTCGGCGGGCAAAGTTCAAAGGGCCGTCGGGATGGGAACCTTGTCATTGAGCGATGTGAGTAAGCAAAAATATATAAAATAATAAAGCTAAGAGAAGTGATAAGAAGACTTTCACTGCACAACAAAACCTTTGCTTGCCAACTCTTACAAAGCTGCTTGGAATTAACTAACTAACTGAGCATTTAGAGAGATGATAAACAAAGCATTTATTATTATTTTAAAACAAATACTTTGTGCTTAACAAAATCAAATTATTAACAACAAAAAAGTAAACTTGTAAAAATAGCGTAGTAATATTCAGTTTAAATATTTAATAAAACATGTTGAATTCAATAGTCAGATATTTATTCTTACTATTTATGTTTTTTATCAGTGTGGTAAAATATGTAATTTAAGTTTAAAGTTGAACTGTTTATAAAACCTTTCAAACTAAATATTTTAAATTGCAAGCTAAAAATGAAATACTTTTTCTTTTCCTATTTATTTTTACAATATCTAATAGTTCAAGGAGGTGAGAATCCCAGCACCTTGGGGTCACATCGCAGGTCGATGGTATGGTAACCGTACAGAGCGACCTATTCTGGCAATCCACGGATGGCTGGACAATCTGGGCACCTTTGATCGCCTGATTCCCCTGCTGCCGGATTATATAGGAGTACTTTGCATAGATCTTCCCGGACATGGAAGATCGTCTCGCCTTCAGCCGGGTCTGCACTACAATATGTACGATTTAATTTACATTATTCCCCGGGTAATGAAGGAGTACGGCTGGACAAAGGTCTCGCTGATGGGTCACTCTTTGGGTGGCATCTTAAGCTTCTTCTATACATCCCTGGCTCCAAACACGGTGGACATGGTCATATCCTTGGATATTTTGTTGCCCAAGCCACTGGGAGATCCCGGAAGGGCCCTTCTCCAGGTGGCCCAGGAAATGGATAAGCATCTGGTGGAAGAGGATCGGCAGGAGGAGGGCAATTTGCACGAACCGCCCTCCTACACTCTCGCCCAGTTGACCAAAGTCCTGGCCAAAGGAAGCTACAATTCTGTGACCCCCGAGTTTGCCAAACACCTGCTCCACCGCCAGGTGAAAAATTCTCAACTTTACCCGGACAGATTCTATTTCTCCAGAGATGGACGTGTCAAATACTATAACTCCATGGCTCTAGAAAGCGGACTTGCAGCAGAAATGGCCAGAAGGATCCGAAGAAAGCCCTACTTGATCATTAAAGGATCAAAGTCAGCATATGTGGGAATTGAGTGTGAGGAGCCCATGTCCATTCTGCGTGAAAACAATCCGCACTTTCAGTTCTATGAGGTTGAAGGCGGTACCCATCATGTCCATCTGCATGCCGCCGAGGAGTGCGCCCGTTACATAGTGCCCTTCATCAGGCATCATCGACCTCCAAACTTGACTTCTTGGTCACTAACTGGAAAAGAGCAGCAACTTAGCTCGAAAGAAAAACGCAGGGTTCTGGAGAGATTTTTTGAAAGAAGTAAAAACAAACGCAGCAAACTGTAAGATACACTAAATACTAAAGGGATTACCTATATAAATATTGATGTTTGTCCATAAAATCACTGTTTGATCTCTTTAAATAGTTTGGTTTCACTCTTAATAGTTGAAATTTTTAAGCAAAGCTAAATACTTTATAAAACAATTTTTTTTTAATCTTTAAATTACACCGTGGCCCACGAAGAAAACCTATAAAAATACAGGATTGATATTTTTCAAATATTTTTTATTGAATAGTCCATTAATCCGTTTCAGTTATGGAAGACCACTTTAAACAACTTTTTTTTGCTGCTTTTGAAGGAAATAAAATTGCCAAATAAAATTTATTCGCAGACATCTTCGAAGTTTTAAGTGACAAATTTTGCCTAATTTATCACTATTACAAAAGGTACGATAAATGTTTAGTGTGTGTTATTTCTATGATTGGATATTTAATTATCAGACATTGCCTGGGCGAAGTTAATGCCACAGCAGGCAGTCTTTTATCCCGATATATTTCCTATCCTCCCCCTTAAGGTTCTTGTGTGACTATTTCCTGCTCACCCGCTGGCATTCGACTTGCAATTTACGGAATTTTAAGCAGCTTACAGCTTGAGCCGCATTAGAACAATTAGCGCAGTCGATAACATAGATTTCGAGCCAGTAGAGTGCAAAAAGTTAAGCAGCAACTGAAAATGTCCTTAAGAGTTGTCCTTAAATTGAATTTAAAGAGTGGGAATAGTTGCGAAATCGAAATACAGCACATAATCAGCTAACCAAATAAATGCAAATTAAATAACCGAAATAACCAAGCAAAACTTTTCTGTCCCTCACAAAAGTAGACTTGATTCATGGAAAATTTATTATCGGAAGGCGAAGAAGATTTCCGTTGCTTACTTTTGGGCCGACGCCTAGTAACGAAAGCCGGGAAAATATTATTTAGAAGTGGGTGTGCAAATGCGAGTGGCATTTATTAAATTAAACACTTTGTTGTTGGCCAGGAAATTGTTGAATTTGTATCGCATAATTTTCTTGTCATACATTTTGATTGGATACGTATTAATATTTATGGCCGGAGCTTCCTAATTTTGTCTCATCGCTCGGCTGGCTAATTCAATCAATTAACGTTTTGAGTGTCGAAAGCAAGAAAATTAATGAAAATTCACGAAAACTCACGAAAATTCCTTTCTTACACTATCGATTTTGCCATTTTAGAGAGTAAAACAAGCATACACAAATGTGTACTACACATGTACATACCTACACGTGGCATATTTTGGTTGTAATCAGAGACGCCGCAGGGTTTCTCTCCGTTTTCCATTTTTTTGGCATTTTGAAGGTGGAAACCATAAAGCCTTGAACGGCATATGCCTAGATTTGGCAAATTTAAGTGGGTTGGGCGGCGATTCCCGGCTCGTGTGCACTTAAATTCCCTTTGAATGGGTCTCGGAAACTTGAACGCTTTCCGCCTCCAATTTCAGCAACAATTTTGCTTCTGGTGTGATATTGGGTTAGGCAGTATTAAAGAGGTTAAGTAAAATCGCTCGGGTCTTGGGGTTCTTCTAGCTAAATGGCCAGGAAAGTTGATGAATTCGCGGGGCAGCCTTGCGCAGACACTTAATGAAAGTGAAACAAAGCCATTATTTTCACTAGATGAACACTTCCGCGAAATAAAGATTTTTGGGAATTCGGTCTTGAAACTTGGGCAAACCTTAAATCAACTTGTAGCTAATTTGAAAGATCAAAGCAATTTGTTCAAAGAAATTAAAAACTTACTATCACTGTTGCGTTGGGATGCATTTTAAATTTTATATTTATTCTCAAAGGGGCAATGAAACTTGAAACATAAATGACTATAATAAATTAATTGGCGTACTAAATTTAGCAAAAATATGTTTAAAATTTCTCATAGAAATCTTGGGAATAATAAAATCAATTTAAAGGCAATTTAAGGGAAAACATTTGAGGAACTACATGGATTTTCTTTGGTAAAATTTTTCAAACTAAAATAAACTCCAGACAATAAATAAAACACCATAAAATAAAATTGTTTGGCATTTTAAAAAGATTAAAATTTTGCATAAAATTTGTTTGGAAAAGTTGTGAGAAAATAAAATCAATTTGAAAGCAATTGAAAAAGCTTAAAGCAAAGTTTAAAGCATTTCAGGAAATTTATAGATTTTCTTTTAAATGTAATATATTTTTTTACTGGTTTTACTTTCTCAACTTAAAGTTACCTCCAGCCGATAAATATAACATAACATAAAACAAGCGTAAAGCTAAAGAAAGCATATGAAAGTAAAACAAGTTTTTCCCAACATAAATTTGCTACCGCAAATGGGAAAAATGTTCAAGGTGAGGTGGTAAGTAAACTTCCTCAAAGAATTTTAAAGCGATTCCTGAGCACTTTCGATGCGGCATGCATCTGTCCAATAAACATCACCTGGCACACCTTTAGTAGGGCCCACAGCCCATAAACCGTCCAAAACTACCGCAGTTAATGATTTAAAACGGACCACAAGATTCTTGGTCATCGAGACTCCACTCACAGGTCTGATTGAAATGAATTGGAGGGAAAACCCTTAAACCAAATGAATTATGCAGAGGCCTGGCGTGGGGCTTAATATCGTAAAGCAAACTTAACGAAAACTGTTTAAAATGCGAGCCGGCCATCTCGAATATTCCCGGCTCTCGCTGCTCGGTGCTCGGTGCAATAAATCTGAGGCCACACAAAACTGCACTCGATTGCTTTGCCGCATGCAATGTTCGCTTTTTTTTTTCTCTGCCCTCTGCGAAAACGTGTGCGCAATTTTCGCAATTTTCTAATAGCCGTTAAAGCTGTCAGGGGGGCGGGAGGGGCATCGAGTTCTCGTAGTTCTCCTTCAGTTATATTACAAACAAGAAAGAAAGCAAACTTCGGCAAGCCGAAGTTCATATACCCTTGCAGCTATTGCATGAATTAAATACTTTTGAAAACATTTAAATTATGATTTACTGCAGTATATACTGAAAAACAGTGAAGCTATGATGATTTGCAGCTCAATTATTAGATAGTTATTTTATATATTTTTATTAGTTCTATGGGAGCTATATGATATAGACGTCCGATTTTGATAAAATTTAAACCATAATTCTGAAATAATTAAACATTGCCACATGTCGAAGAACTAAACAAAAAATTAAAAAACAGAAAAGTTATAATTTTTTTTCATTTATTTCTCCGATTGTTCCTATGGGAGCTATATGATATAGTCGTCCGACTTTGATGAAATTTAAACCGTAAATCGAAAATATTTAACCATTACTAAATGTCGAAGAACTAAACAAAACATTAAAAAACAGAAAAGTTATAATTTTTTTTCATTTATTTTTCCGATTGTTCCTATGGGAGCTATATGCTATAGTCGTCCGATCCGGCTCGTTCCGACTTATATACTACCTGCAATAGAAAGACAACTTTTGGGAAAGTTTCATGCAGATAGCTTTAAAACTGAGAGACTAGTTTGCATATAAACGGACGGACAGACGGACAGACGGACAGACGGACAGACGGACGGACAGACGGACATGGCTAGATCGACTCGCCTAGTGATGCTGATCAAGAATATATATACTTTATAGGGTCGGAGATGTCTCCTTCACTGCGTTGCAAACTTCTGACTGAAATTATAATACCCTCTGCAAGGGTATAAAAATGGAAAACAACTTTCCACGTCCGATGATGCTGCTTCGTTGCATGACTTTTTGTTTTTAGCTTAAGCGGAAGTGCTTTCGACGCCATTTTGCGGCCGGCCATTGCAATTGAGTGCAGCCCTGACTTCATCAGCTTCCACTTTCGTACTCCTCGGCCCTCAAGGATCCCGTCCACAGGAGCCCAAGGATACGTGCTCGAGCGTACTGGCACGCACTTTAAGTTTCATTAAACAAAACCATCGCGCGCCTAGGCCTCCAAAGATTGCCTATAAATTCATGGAGGGCAGTGAAATGGAAAGCGAAATCTATGACAGGACGTTCAAGAAATTTGCTACAGTAAAGAGTCTAACAAGGCGACATAATAAAATAAAAAAAATAATATACATATTTTGTTGGGTTTATTTGGTTTGTTTCTTAATTGTTTATATTTATGAAACAATAATTTCTAATCAAATTTTGTCTTAAATATATTAATTAATTTAATATTTTTAATAATTTTCTACAAAGACGTAAATTTTAATCCAAGATTAATAGAAAACATTAAAAAATGACTTAGAAATTTTATTACTTACTGTACTGTAAACAAAACTATAATGTTATAATCATAATTGCCAACAATTTCATTAATTAAATTTTTATTTGAATCAGCTGTGAGCTTTGCAAGATTCATTTTTACTTATAAAACTCCTATAACTTATAAGATTAGAGTCACCCGTCATTTAACGCCTAGTCTTTACTGTATTCCTTGGCTCTGCTGACACAGCAGTGAAAAGCCGTTTGCATTTCAGTGATTTTGGGGCGGTCGAGATGGGGTTCCCATTGCCAGACCCACATTCCTTGGACGACCATTAAATCTGCTACAATTTACTTGTGATTGACATGTTTATAAGGGTCGTAACCCAATAGACACCCTTCCTTAGCCAAATTTTCCGACGGAATGACCCTTTTCGGTTGGAGATGTTTGTTTTTGTCCTCTTTCATAAACAAGTGAAGCCTGAATCGCTTCTGGACTGCTCTTTATTTTCTTTTTCATTTGCCCCGCAAAAATAAATCTTTGATATTTGCGCTGTCAGGGAAGCATACTAAATATCCTTTTGCATTTCAAGTACTTTGGACAACAATTCCTGGTACTGTCTGAAATCCCAGGCACACACAATTAAAAGTTCCCACGTCAAGCGATATAGGAATAAAATAACAACAAAGAATGCATAAAAAGGAAAAATTATGAAAGAATCGAATGGCTGATACCCATTGGTAATTTTGTTTTTTGAACTCGAAACTCGTATAAATGCTTTTAAAATATAAATAGAAGGGTTAATATAGAAAAGCCTAATACAAGTTTTTTTTTCATTTGATACTCAAGGATATAAGCTCAAATTTAAGTAAATGAGTAATATATCTTAAAAGTCTTAATTGATTTTACTACGTTAGTTACTTAAATAAAATTCAAAAATAAGAAATGAACTCCATACCCAATGACAAGTTTTTAGAAAAGTGTTTGTTGCTTAACAGCTTTAATAAATTAAGTCTTATAAAATACACTCGATTGAAATAAGAACGCATAATTAAATATAATACTTGCTTATTCATTCTTTTCCACTCAGACTCACAATTAAATGAATTCTTTAAATGCGTTTCCCATTTAAATAAATTCCCACATTTAACAAACACTCTTCCCGAGTTCATCATTCCCATAAAAACCGAAGAAAAGAAGTGGAAATAAAGAAAACAAAAATAAAGGGCTCCCACAGAATCTCCGATATCTCCATTGGCGGACAAAACGCATGTTTTGTTTTAATTTTGCACTCGGCGGAAAAGAAATACCAACCGCAAACCGGTTTTTCAGGCGCCCCACAAAAAAGGGCTAAACGTGCGGGTAATCGGCCGACAATGCAGTAACAAATGAAAATAAATAAAAAATACTACAGACCACTGATCAATTGAAATGCAACAAAAAACAGCTGACACGCAAGCAACTGCAACTCGAACGCACTTCGAGCCGCAACTCGAACTTGAAACCAGGTTCGCATGGATCATGGCTAAGATCGAAATGGAGGCAGCATTTCAAAACTTTCAGTTGAGCGCGAGAATTCCACGCGGGCGAACGGGGCGGATGAACGATATCGGTATCGTTTCGGTTTAATTTAGGTGTAGATAAACGCGATAAGAACTCGCTACATTTCGAAATCACCCAAAAAGTAAGACCCCTCGACACTAATCGATAAAGAAACGTTGTTCAACCCAAGTCAAATTACCCAACATTAAACAACACGCAAAATGAACTGAAAACTCATTTCGAAACAGCTGAAAACATTTGTCAGCTGTTGAAACAAATTTTTTTCTGCGGAGAAATGCTAATGACTTTTGTTGTTGCTGCTGCTGCTGAACTTTTCAATTAATTTAATAGCCCGTCGTCGTTGGCATAGATCTTATCGTCATATCATAAAAAAACCAAAAAAATATATAAAAGACAGGCCGAGGAAAACAAAACCGAAAAAGTTCTCAAGAAAGTTTAACGAAATTGAAAGAAAACAAAACAAAACAGCAACTCTCAAACGGTTGTTTTTGTGTCTTGCCTATTTTGGAAGTGAAGTTTTTTGTTTTGTAGGCCGAAAGGTGTGCCCGATTTCAAAGATTGAAGGCATTAATGAACCCCACGACGGGGTTCTCAAATTTTCGGCTACTCTTTTTCCTGATTTTTTTCGCTAAGCTCAGTGGTATTTAAAAATATATACATAAACTCTCTGTGCATATTTGCAAAGTATTTTTCATACTGACATTTGAAACCAGAAATATGTATGCTCCAATCCTAAAGTTGTTGTGCAGCAAGGTTGTTTTTTACCTGTCGTCTGCTATTAATTGAAATTCAATGCGGAAGGGGCGGAGGTACAGGCAGTGAGGAAGGGGGTTTCAAGAGGGGGAAAACCGCTAGGCTATGACAATTATTACAGCTCTCCAAAAGCGGCCAAAGGAACAGGCTGCTCACGGCCTGGCCATCAAAACCCGGAGCCAAGCCAAGTAGTGCAAATTGCTTTGCCAGCATAGAACATAAAAAACGGGAAAGGAAGTTGTGGTTTAAAACTTGATTTTGAAATGCCCTAAAAGGTTTAAAAATTAATTCAAATATTTATGATAAAAAGTATATTTACTTGTTATTATTGTAGCAAGCAACCTGTTTGTCTAGTTTAGTTATATTAACACTAAAATGCCTAAAAAGCTTAAGAGTATTTAAAATATATTTTACTTTTATATTAGTTACCCAGTAAAGTTATGTTTTAATGAACCATAAAATTGTTTAGTTTCAATACACTTTTATTGAGCGGGTACAAGCTCACATTTCTTTATCTGTAAATTTTGGACTAGTGATTCCCTATAAAATTATGAAAATAAATACTCCTTGTTTTTTTCATTATTTAAATAACTTATAAGCTTTATATATATTGTCTACTCTTTTACATAATATAAAACATAAATAATGTATTTATTTATACCATATTATTACTAATAGAGTAATTTTTAGATTTTAAAAACAATTTATTTTTAAATACCTGAGTACTCGTTCTGAAAGAGTATAGGAAAAAACGGAGCAAAATTGCCAGTGGAAAGGCAAGAGTGAGAGGCAGGAAAAGAGGCATCGACCACTTACGCATAACTGTAAGATAGACTGCCAGCAAACAGGATTTTTTGCACGTACTTCCACTGCAGACAAGTGAAAGAATTACTTGCCTCTTTTGCTCCTCTATGTGGTACTATGTACTATAGTGTTTGAGTTTGCCGCGCCCCTTATCAACCGACAAATTAAGTTCAAATTGCTGCTGCTGCTGCTTTGGCTGCCTGGCATGGAAAAGAGCTAAAACTTCAATTTGTGTCAAAATACTCATGCGCAAAAATGGAATTTTTCCATTAGGCCCGAGAGATAGAGACCCCGAATAGAAAAAAAAAAAACCAACAAAACAGACTTAAACTAACATGAAAATAGTGAAAATCATGTGGAGAGACTGGCTAGGCACTGCAAAAAATTTAGTGTTATTTAAAAATATAAATATTTGAAATTAAAATTACTATATTTAGAAATGATGACTGGTAAGAAGTGATATATAGATAAAGGTTAGATAATACCCGTTTTGTAGCCCAAAAATAGATTTTAAACCATTTTTAACAAATTGTTTTCTGTGCATTAGAGTAAAGTAAACTAAAGGCAACCAAAGTTTCAGGCTGCAACTTGTCAAACGTGTTCCCCAACAAAGTCTCGCGGCATTTGGAAATGTGCAGCATTGTGCAGCGGCAAGAAAAACAGCAGCAAAATGCAGCAGCAACAGCAACAGCAGCAGCAACGAAAACAACTCGCATAACTGTGACTTGTATTAATTTTCAAGCTTTTCCAAGCTGCAAACAAAAAGAAAAATTGTAATCCCGCCATCCTATGTCTCAACAGAAAAATGTGTGCGGCGACAAAAGCTTCAATTAGCATTTAAAGCATTGAAGCCCCATCATCGCGATCCCATCGTTAAAAATCCCTTCAGATGGAGGAGGACGTGCTGAATGCCCTGCAGACGCGATGCGCCTATTTATCCGGCGGATTTGATCGCCAGAAGCGCATCATCTTCGTTGTCAACGCGTTCAACGATCTGCAGCTGTGGAATCGCCGCTATCTGCAGGTGACTCTGGACTATCTGAAGCGGTCTCTCAGGTGAGAATCGGGAATTAAGTGGTTTTAGGCATTAGAAACCAAATGAAAAAAAAAGAAAGACAAACCGGCAGTGGAAATGCCGAAGAGTCATTAGCATATGGCCGAAATATGCAAATAGCCCGCAGATGATGAAGGTTTTTGTTATTTTTGTTTGTCGTCTCTTAATGCATTACTTTTCATTAGACACGGGTTTTTTTCTGGGAGGGGTCTGAAAAGCAGGTCTTCGAAAGGGGGAAGTAGGCCTCAGCAAAGCTGGTTATTTATATGCAAAGTGTCAGAGTTTTCAAGCTAAATTAATGCTTAAAATTCTTAAATGGCGATAATTTCCGTCAAATGTGAAAAAGTAATAACGTCTTAAATAATTGTAAAAAACAAATAAGTATTCAAAGTTTAGAAAGATCTAAACTTTCCTTAAAAGTTTTTAAAACGTTACTTTAGACAGCTTAGAAAAATGTACTCACTTTTAGAAAGCACAATCTGAAAGAAAATGAAAAAAGAAAATGTTAGTAAAAGTATGAAATAGTAATAGTAAAAAAATGAAATAGAGAAAATCTAACTAATTTAACACCAGCTGTAAAAATAAATGTTAATAAGTTTGCATAAGGTATATCGTCTTTCCAGTAACAAAAAAACACTCTAAAATTAATTTATGAAAATGATATACCCCTCATACCCTATTTAAAGGTCGAACAACAGCCTATAGACTTTTCAGCCTCACCCTTCTCTTGTTATTTCCCTGATTTGTTTATTGGCACACCAGGCAAATTGTTTAATTTTACGAGGTAGCCATCAAAAGCACACTATTAAAGACAGAGAAAAGGCCACATAAATTATGGATATATTCATTGTAATCAATCAACTGGCAATGGGTCACAAAGGTTCCCCCGCAGAAAAAGATTGGTTAATTAAAGCCAAATCGTAAATGGCAGGCTAATGAAGCATTTAAATCGCTTTCCTCCAATTCCAACCGATTAACCATCTGGGTATTAATCTCTTTCAGCGCTTCGGTGTTGCAGAATGGAGTGAGTGTGGTGGTCAATGCCCAGGAGAGTAGTTCGCGGATCTCGCGCCAGCAGGTGCGCCAAATATACGCCCTCTTTGGAGGCGACATCAATGTGGATCTGTATCTAGTCAGGGCGGAGGGCTTCTGGGAGAAGCATGTGGAGCCGTGCACCAAGTCCCAGGTCAAGGGAGAGGTAAGCTAGTGACCCACATTTGAATATAATAACAGGTGCACCTTGAGAAATAAGAAATTGCAGCTAAAATATTCTTAATATAAAATTATAAGTTAATATTCCATACAAAATTAATTTAAACCTGTACCTTTTATAAAACTATTCTTTTATCATAAAAAATCGTATTAATATTCCATACAACATTTATTTAAACTTGTACCTATAATAAAACAATTGCTAACTTGGTTTTTAAAGAATGATTTATCTATATTTGGTCAAATATTATATTACATTTTTTTGAATTATTAAATAAACTACACACAACTATAGAGATTATTTGAATCATAAGCAATTTGTTTTCTTTCTTGTGACTGAATAGTTTTTGATTTTTATGTAGTGTAACAAACGTTAATAAATTATATAATATATATATATTTATTTAGCCATATTTTTATTTTGTAAATCAGGCTTCAAATGTAAGTTTAGGCATAGAAACTAAAGATTTTTCGCTGTGTATTTTGTAATTAGCCTCTGGTGCTGTCCAAGGCGAGACTGGGCAAGTTCATAGAGCCGCAGAACCTGCCCGAGGAACTGGGCGGCACCTTGCAGTTCAACTACGATCTGTGGCTGCAGCAGCGCAAGGTAAGTGCCCCAATTTCGGAGCGCCATTCGAACGGCACATAATGACTATGTGTATATATGTATATGTTTATATTTTCGCAGTCCATCGACGAGTTTACCAAGTCGCATGTGCGGACTTTGGCATCGATGGAAAAGCTGTTGGCTCTTCTTCGCGGGCACAAATCTCTGCGGCCAGCGGAAGCGGATGTGGAGCTGAAGAAGTGCGCCCAGCTGCATGCCGGTGTCCAAAATGACATAGAATCAGCGATAGATATGGGTGAGCAGAGTTCGTGGCTCAAGTCTTTTGTTTTTTTTTCCTTGTTTTTTTTTGTGTTTTTGTTTTTGTTTTTGTGTGCCTACCCCCCCAAGCAATTAACATAATTCGTTTTGCCCTCGAAGCAAACGAGTTGGGAAAAAGACAGAGACAGGCAGACAGACAGAAAGAGACGGGGAGAAAGACACACATGTGACAAGTAAATCATTGAATTTTGTGTGTGTTTTCAATTAGAAATGCGCCACGTTTGGCAAACTTGTTTTTTCGCGCCGTTTGTTTGTCGTTTTTATTGTGGGTTGATTTTAACGGCACTGAATAACATTGAGCTTAGAGGCCTACAGAAGGTCTTTCATATAAAAATTAAGTTATTTATACGATAATTTAGAAATCTACAGGCTTTTGGAGGTACGATATTGAATAGGTATTGTTCTGGGCATGATTGATAACTGAAAATTGTTCGCGAAATTAGAAAGATTGATTGATTAACAGGAAAGCCAAACATTTTTTGAATTTAAACAAAATTATAGGTATTCAATCAGCAGTATTCAATACATATTATAAAATCACAATAATATGAATGCTGATTCGGTATATCAACGTAAGTGGCTTGTATAAAAACTGTTATCAAATCAAGTTTTTAGGAACTCAGGTCCCCCATCCTTCTTGAATACTTTTCTGGCTTCATTAAGTTATTTTTGAGAAACATTTGCGGTTAAGATCATCTTTCTGTGAGCAAGCCGTGCTCACCAGTGTTCGCACTTATTTTGAACAGCGACTTCAAATTCGACCGAATTCTCATTTGAGTGCGTGGGTTTGGCAAAGCGACAAGCACAGCAACAACGACAAACGTGACCTTTCACTTAAAGCCACAAAAGTCGGTGATGCGCATCGAAATTGTGGCACATGCCACAGTCCACAAAGCCAGACTCAGATTTAAAGCCACTCCGGGAATGAGGTTTCACTTTTGTGCTATAGATGTGTGCATAGCCATAGATCCGATCCCCCCGCAATAAAAGCCCTAAGGTGCACAGAAAAAAATAACCATTAATTATATTTTTTTTAATTGTTCAAAACCATTTAAATTTGTGAAAGCCGAAGAATTTTTTTTATACATTAAACCGCTTTTAATAGCTTATGTTTATAGAAGGTAAACATACATACATAGTTCGAACTAATTGAAAGAGATTTTATAAACGTTTAAACAAAAAAAAAATTTACTTTCACAATAAATGCATTTTGTTTTATTATAAAAACGATCAAAGTACTGAATGGAAATAAGAAAATCATTGGCTCTTTTAGTATTATGATTAACGATTATTTTAAAATGTGGTATAAGAACCTTTTAAATTTGTGAAAACCTCATTATTTATTTTTTTATTGTACCGCTAATAAAAGGTTACATCGAAAGAAAGTATACATTTTAAAATAATGGAATTAGAGTTGTTATAAGAACTTTTTTGAATTTTTTTATACTAACATTCTTTTTTTTCCTAAAAGTTTTTATATTAGCCAACAAATCGATTATTTTTGTTCAGACTATTTCGAAATGGAGAAATCTGGTTTGTATTTTAAACAAATGTTATATAATGAAAATTTCCATAATTCTATTCATTTTCTCAGTGTACTTTGCTCATCCCCTTTCCTTTTTTTCTCTTCTCTACTCTTTTGCATGTTGTGCATTGTGCATTGTGCAGGTAACGCGATCTTGGCCCGTTTCAACGAGGTCTACGAGCCGCATTCAGCGCCGCCACAAGCGGTCGCACCTGCCTCGGAATGCCCCGTTAACGCCCCCCGCCGCCGCCACCACCGCCCATCCCTGCTGCCCACTCCGCCCCTGGAATCCCCCCGCCAAAGCCCCTTTTGCCGCCCGATCTCGTTTGTGAGCGTGCCCGCATCGAGCTGCGATTGAATGAGATCGAGAAGAAACAGACGGCCATTCGAACAGCCTGGCTGGAATTGCTGCGATCTTTGAGGGAGGCACGTGAACTCTGCACTTTGGAGGAGGGAGTGTCGTTCGTCACCAATTGGATCCTGCAGCAGGCGGAGGATTTGCTAAGTCGTCAGAGGAGCGTTGCCGGTGATGTTCGTGGTTGTGAGATCCTGCGATCCGCTCACGATCAATTGGAACTGGAGTGCCGCGAAACCTACGGTTGCTATGCGGAATTGCTTTACAAAATCGAAAGATTCGCAGGCGAACGGCAGGCATCTGCCAAGGACATCAATCTGTGTCAGGATCTCCTTTCGCAGCGGGATTTCATGCAGTTTGTATGTCGCTCCTTTGCAAAGAGATTGGAACGACGACGGAATGTCCTGATGACCGCCTTGCGATTCCATCGTCTCCTTGAGCAATTCGAGGAGCTACTGGCCACTGGTAATCATGTGGTGGAGGTGGACAGTCGATCGCTGGATTGGCCCGAAGCAGAGCAGCTACTCATGCAGCTCAAAAACAACCAGCAAATGTTGAGTGAGTTTTAATATACCTATTTATATCTATAAATATACATCTTTTTGTACTATTTCAAACAAAAAACTCAATTAAAAATAGATTGATATGTTACGTTAAAGTCACGCTTTCAAAATTTTTGTGGAAAATTTTTGTACTTGCACAATACTAATAAATACTTGTTAACTATAACCATCGAACCCTGACAAAAATATGTGAAAATTGCTATGGTAATCATCATAAGTATGACAAAAACAGAAAACAAAACATCATAAAATCCGTACAATGATATCAGTCACGCTTCCAAACTTCAATGAAAAATAGAAATCCAAATGAAAATATAGAAAGATCTTTAGTCTTGACTTATTCAATATTACAGACTTGCAGCCTCCAACCGATCTCTAAGTTTGCTATACCCAACTATCTTTTAACTTGATTTTTTGGATTATCTTTTATCTAAACACTCATATATATTTTGAAAAACAAAGATCTGTTCCAACTCGAACTGTAAACACGAAGACCGATGCAACCGATCTCTAAACTAGTGACATCCAACATGCAACCGATCTTTAGACCTGCTATATCCAGCATGCAATAGGTCTCTAAGCACATATCTAAGCATAAGCAGTTTAAATATAAAAACCTATATTTAAATATATAAATTTAAAAACAAAGATCTGTTCCAACTCGAACTGTAAACACGAACAGTTCCAACTTCCAACCGATCTCTAAATTTGTTACATCCAACATGCAACCGATCTTTAGACTTGCTCTTTTCATCAAACATTCATAGTTCAAATTCAAATACCAATATTAAAATACATAAATTTAACAACAAAGATCTGTTCCAACTAGAACCATAAACCTTCAACCGATCTCTAAGCTTGCTACATCCAACATGCAACCGATCTCTAAACATGCTATATCCAACACGCAACCCATACCTAGACCTACTATATCCAACATGCAACCGATCTCTAAGCACATATCTCAACATTCACAGGCCACGTCGAGCGCGAACTTGTGCGTGAAGGTGAAAAGCTGAGCGACATGCTGGCGATGCCGGTGAAAGACGCTCTGGGCCGTGACCTCCAGCTGGACTACAGCGCGGAGATTGGCCAGCTGCGGCGGCAGATCGACGAGAGTCGGCGGCGACGTCAGGTGTGCGGACAGCGGCTGGCGCTGCAGCGGCTCACCTTGGAGCAGGTGACCCACATCCACGCCTACGAGGAGGACGCGCGGAGGGCACGCGACTGGCTGCAGGAACTGTATGCCGTCTTGCTGCAGTGCCACTCCCATGTCGGCTGCAACATCCACGAGATCCAGCTGCAGAAGGACGAGCTGCAGGGGTTCGAGGAAACCGGACGAGTGAGTTTTCGCCTCTTATTTTTTGGCGTCTTTGTTTTGTTATGTCTTTTTGGGGGGGAAATGAGATGACTGCGATCGAAAGACAGAGAAAGGGAGAGCCACTTTGGCTAACGGCAGAGTGACCGTTAAAATACATATGCTTGGCGAATTTACTGGCGGAAAATCAAGGCCTTATTGCATTAATACAAGGTTGCTTTTCTAGTTCTTCGACTGGATCGAAACCGTGAAAAAGTTTATTTTAAAAACTACTAATTAATTTAAATTAAAAATACAATAAATAAAATCCGTTGAATTTCTAGTTTTTATATTTACAAGTAGCTTGTAAATTGTTATAGAACGACCTTTTTTTATTTTATTCGAAATTTAAATCATCAGAAGCACAAGTATACGAATAAAAAACGAAAAGATTTATAATTGCGGAAAATGGTGGAAACATCTATTTTCCATTCACTTTTGACGGTGATTTTTATATTTATGTACGGATTATGTTCTGTCTCTGATTTAAACATTTAGAATTATTGCCAAACTATTGAACTGTTTTCATAATTACAATTCTATATCGTGCAATTACCACTGTATACTTTTCTATTATATGACAATTCTTAAAACTAATTACCATATTCCCTTTGCTTTAGAGTATCTACCATTATGGCTGCCAGTTGCTGGAGGCTTCCCAAACGCTGAAACTCTGCTGCAAATTGGATACCTCGGGATCGAGGCCAGAGGTCAATGCCAGTCAGAGTGTGATCAGTGATGAACTGCAGTACACGTGGCACAGTCTGCAGTCCGTTGCCCAAGAGCAGATGACCAGACTGCGCGTCTCCGCTGTATTTCATCGCAGTGTGGAGGCCTATTACCGCCAATTGAGGGAACTACGACCTCTACTGACCCAGGAGCTGTCCGCACAAATGCAGCAGCAACAAAGACAGCAGCACAATCGCAGTAGCAGTGGAATCAGCAGCGATGCAGGGGGAGAAATGGATTCGGAGTTATCTCCACTGGGAGAAATGCCACCACGGTTGCAAAGACATCTGGTGGCCAGGGAACAACTTCTCGTCGAGGTGGGAAGAATGGTCAGATTGGGAAGACTGCTGAAGAAGCGTCTTAAAGAGCCCTTCGTCTTGGACGCTTTAACAGGAAAAAGGTGAGTTTAAGTAAATTATAATTTTAATCCAACTGCAGTTGCGTGAGTGCTTGGACTTCAACCTTATATCGGCGGCTACTTCATTATGCTCAACGCATAAAACTCGGGAAAAAAAAACAGCAGACAAATGTTCTGCATATCAACTAAAACATGAGGAAGATTTTCACTCAAATCACACGAGTTCGCGGCAAATTAACTGAGAAATAGAAAAAAAAGCACAACCAAAAGAGCAAGGAACTAACAAGTTGCTAGAAATAAAATTAAACGAAATGATAAATGGGAACTGAGAAATTATAAAAGCAAACACAACTTGTCAATACGCTATCAAAATAATAAAAAAAACAGGAGAAAAGTTTAAAAATTTATGATTAAATGAGATAAGTTCATTTATTGTTTATCTACAACACAATGATCTCGTTTTAAAGGTTTGAAAACCCTTTTTTTGTCTTTTAAAAATAGCCTAAAATATTCAGCTTTCATGATTTAAATGCCATGTCTTCATTATAAACACGTGTAAAAAAACCACGTAATGTCTCAATAAAATTGAACATGATTAACACAAGAATTATAGATAAAACAAACTATAAAACCAAACCCCATAATACTTTCCAAGTAACCGCAAGCTAGACAACGAAAAATAATTTTTGACAGAATGAAACAAATGCCAAGCGGCGGCATCGACGCACTCAAAAAGTTCCACCACCCAAAATTCGAAAAAAAAGAGAACAAAAAATATTTAAATAACATAAAAGAACTATAGAAGCTATATAGTCGGCGTCCAAATCCAAGCAGTCTATTTCAGTGCGTGGTCCAGTGTGGTTCGTCGTTCGGTCCCCTTTCGATTTGGTTTCTCGGTTCGGAGCGGGAGATTTCAAGACAACTGTCAGGTTGTCAAATTAATGGAACACTCAAAACGAATACGCTATATATATAAATAAATAGTAGATACCAGATAAAGAGTGAATTTCCTGGAGAAAATACAAATACGCAAAGACAAGTGGGTCAAAGTGATAGGAAGGTGTTTTAAATATAGAAGTGTCGTCTTCACTCTCGTTTTCGCTCAGTGCTAAGCTAATCCCGACAAAGTGAATAATTGAATCTACAATTATCAGAGAGAGACATAGCTCCCTTCGACTGGCCACTAGCCAAAAGCGTGTTATAGCGTCTTACGTCAAACTAATTGTTCCCCAAAAAAAGAGGCGCCAACTCGAAAAAGCTCGAAAATGTTTGCCAGATTTCGTAATTTGTTTGCCAAATCAAAGGGAGATGAGGTGGAGGAGGAGGAGGTGACCATCACCGCCAGGCCGAAAGTGCCCAGCATTGTGGTGGATGAGCCACCCAACGAAGTCATAGAGGTCGTAGAGCAGCAAAATGAAACTAAATCCCCAAATGAATCACAAACTGAGGCTCCTTTGGCCAGCGAAGAGGAGATTCCTCATGAGATTCTAAGTGATTCCTCTAGCGATCTCAGTCGACTTTTGGAGGCCATTAACGAGGCCAGTAAACTGCCGGAGCAGATTCAAGCTGATGATGAGCATTACGAGGATGATGACGATGATGATGAGACGGCCAGCACTTCGAGTGTCAAGACCAAAATAGCCAAGGCCTCTATAGAAAGGGATATTATCTTGGAGGAAACTGAGGAAGAGGAGGACGATGAGGTGGATTCTGGACCTGCGCTTCAAAGTCTGGAAAAGATCAAGGCTCTCATTCGAAATGATAGTGAAACGTATCCGCAAAGCGATTACACCGACAATGAAACCCCTTCGCACTCACGCACTGCATCTGTGGATTCCGGAGCACCCGATAATCCGCGTCTTTCTGGTGATTTTAGTGTTGTGGCCGATGAGCTACCGCTGGACTGCAGTCCAAGTCCACTCCATGATAGTGGAAGAACGAGCAGTGCTGGCAGTGAGGCACCCGGCGAATCCCAATCCCAATCCCAATCCCAGCCAGCCACTGTGCAGGTTGTGCCCACGGGCGGCAACGAACTGGCCTGCGCCGCCATTTCGCACAAACTGGGCGCCATTGCCGAGGTGGCCGAATCCCTGGACGCAGTCATCCGCGATGTCCAGCAGCAGGAGGGGGCGGCCAGCAATGGAATCAGCAGTGCCAGCGGAGGACATGGCATCAAGAAACTGGGAAGCATTGAGGTAATTACTATATAACACATATTGCTAATATCTAATTTCCGAAATTAATTAATTTATTCAAGTATTCATCAAAAGATATGAATACTTAAACATAAAGCTTACAAAAAAAAGAAAATTTTATATTATTAAAAATAATAGTACAATATTTTTATTTTGTAGACATTTCGAGATAAAGAAGTTTAAATAAGATAAGTTCAATTACATGTGTTTGTTATTAATACTGATCAAATATTCAAAATAATACTTTTAATACTAGTGTTTTTCAACAGTTTTAAAATTGTAATATTAAAGGCCTATATGAGTTTGTGATCAAATATTTAAAGCCAAAAAATATATATACTTGAAATCATTTTATTATTATAATACGTACTATATTATCCTTTGAAAAGAAGAGACTTTAAAGATTATTATTTACTAATATCTTTTTATCCAGGACTGGCACTCCCGCTCCACCGAGGACGAATCCTTCGCCACCGCCTCCGAGGGCAACTTCACGCCCAACTCGCACTCCTCCTCCTTCCAAACGGCCTCTGGACGCACTAGCTCCTACATTGGCTCGGCCAAGAACTCCTTTGACGAGGCGGATGACTCTACTTTGAGCACCTTCGAGATTCCCGAACTGCCACCCTCACCGGTCAACATGTCCTTCGATAGCTCCGAAATGAGTTACTTCTCTGCTCGCCAGCAGAGGATGAAAAGTGAGGATCAGGATAGTGTAGTGGGCGTGGCAGAGTTGCACAGTCAGAGTGTGACGCCCACTCCGGATGAGGAGCAACAGCACTTACTGCTGCCACTGCCATTGCCACAGGCCATCGAATCGGATAGTGAGGTGGAGGGATTCAGTTTGGCCACCGGAATAACGACGGAATCCGCACCAAGGATTTCGAATGCCCACACGCCGGAGGTGAGCTACCGATCCGCTGATAATACCGCTCCGGCTTCAACTAACCCCAACGAAACGAAACCGCCGACGTCCTGGCGACGTAGTAAATACTACGAGAATATAACAAAACAAACGATCAAGGGATTTCTCTAAAAATTAAATCAACCTGAAAAACAAATGAACAAAACGATTTCCCGCCCAATTAACCTGCGCCATTTGCTTCACTGCCGATGCTCGACATTCTTGCCATTAATTAGTTGGCATTTTACTTTTGATGTTTTCTACAAAATCATATTTTAGCAAGAAGTTCTTTACATGTTTTGTTTTGTTTTGCTACTTTAATTTGCATGATTGCTTACTGTTTTTCAACCAAATTTATTATTTCTGTTGAACTTAATTGCTTGCGAAAAACTGTTTTAAATATTTTATGCCCAAAATATTTAATATTTCTTTACAACTAGTTCTTAACTTATTTATTTTGTTAGATACAAATTTATTTTAAGGCTTGCCAAATTAGAGAATTCCAAAATGCATAAGAAACTTATATAAAATTTAAATAATATTTAGAATAAGAAATTAAATTCAACCAGAGCCAGTCGAAATTTTTGCCATTAATTGTATGTTTAATATTTATTAATAACTATTTCTCCCAACACAGTCACAAAATATAGTGCAATTATTATTGGAAAATGTTTTACCCGAAAAATAAAGCTTATCATTTAAATATTTGTGAATAACTATTGAAATTTTCAGCTTTGTGATTAAATTTGAAGTTTTGGATGCAAGTAAGTAAAGAGAGTAAAATACTTTTTACAAAATACATGAAAAATATTGCATAACCTTAGGCTGTTTTTGGTAAAAAAAAAGTCATGACCATCATCTGCACTTAACCCTTGAGTGCTCTTTTTGACTTTTTCCACCCTAAATAATTTTTTAAAATGTTTCTCTGTGGGTGGCCCTTTCCCTGAGCATTTAACAAGTGGTCCTCAAGTGATTTCAATTATCTGAAATGTGAACCGTCAGTGGGCGAAGAGGGGCGGCAATGGGGTTAAGAGGGGCTGGTTTTTTTGTGAGAGCTCCCTCAAGTGGCTCATTAATCTCAATTAAAAACATATAAATAAAACGTTCCGAGTGTGCTGAGTGACTGAAAAGAATTTATGCTTAACAAGCTGATCATCCAAAAGGCGTAGAGAAAATTTGAAATGAGATTCTTTTCATGCAATTCGAACAGATTTCGTGACGTGATGGCGCTGAAAGAATAATTTGATAAGTATGAAGCGTTGATAGCAAAAAAAAAAAAGAGAAAATTGGGCATTGATTGCTGAGTCTGCTGTTGCATGCAATACGCAATGGAAATTGCACGAAACAAAAATTCAGACCCAAAGTCAAGCTTCGAGACACGCATTTCGGGTGGAAAATACTTCATAAAACGAAGAGTAGGGTACCTCGGGAAGTGGGGGATTTAAATGCGGGCGGTCAGTTTGCCTTTTATTAAGACACGATATCGTCTGGTTTCTTTTGCTTTTCTGGTGTTGTTATTTTGATCTTCCTCTCTTCACACTGTTATTAAAGTACCAAAGCTGCACTTGAACATATTGTGATTTAGCTACCCTATGCTAAATGGGGTTTACCAGCCAGAAATTCCATTATTAAAATCCTTTATACAAACTATTATGGAACAAAACAAATATTGTGAATATATACTTTAACATAATAATATAAACAATTAAATAATAAAAACAAAAAGTTTATTTACATCCAATTAAATATATCATTTATATTTTTAATTGAGAAAAGACTCAGAATTTTATTATTCAACACTTTTTTTATTATTATGCATTAAAAACAAATGCAATTTGTTATTCAATAATTAAAATAGGAAGTAAAAATTAATTTATAAAGCGAAAGAAAACGCAATTATTTATTTACTACCAATTAATATAAGGTATAAATTCTTCGTTTCATTATTCCCTAAGAGAGCCCTTTATATCGCCCCATACCTTTCGTTGGTATTGTAATTGCTGAAAAGCCGGGCGCAGGGCATTAAAAATTGAAATCATGAATTAACAACGACGGGAATGCCAAGAGCACTTGTTTATTTATGTCGTCGCCCCCCGAAGACCCCTCATACTCCCTCTCTGTCACACACTCCTCTCTCTTTTCAAAATCCAAGCCGGCTTTTTGCTAAAACGGAGCTTAGCGAGAGTGAAGAGATCAGAAGAGAAAACTTAAATTTCATTCATATAGAGCGAATCGGTTAAAACTCATGTGCTCCACGCTCTTCTCTTTTTTGATCTGCTGCTGGCCGTAGAATCTGCTCAATTCTTGGGTCTCTGGTCTTCAGTCATCGGATCTTTGGTCAGTCTTGTTCGAAGTTCGCGGCGTTCGGTTGTGCTTGGTTGTTTGGAAAGCGGCGCGCGCGTTTTTAATTCCACTTCTCCTCCATTCGAATAATGTGCGAATAAAAACACATCTATGTAAATTAAGTCAGGCAAAAAAAAAAAAGAGGAAGAAAACAATAAATTTGGCACTTCAAAAAAGTATAGAAAGAAAGGAAAATGAATCAGCCATAATTTAGCTAGAACATTTTTGGCATTCAAAAATGCTTGGCGCTAGTTTTTTTGTGTTCACTCGTCTAAAGATGAAATCAACAAAGTGTGCTAAATTTATTGTTGTTGTCAAATATTCAATTTTGTGACGACCCTCACCGCACAGAATACAAACAAAATGTTTAACAAATAGAAATTGACACAAAATGTTAGCATAGAAAAATACTTTTTATAAAAATATTCGATGAGTGATTGATGTATTGAAAAGCGTTTTTGCTTGAGTCGTGTGCAGTTTTCTTTGCTTTTTCAATACACTATTATAGTCCACGCCCCAAAAAATTTCAATCAACAATTTTCCTTTTTGTTTTTTTTTTTGTTGTTTGTTTTTTGGACAACAACATATGGATGGCTAGCATTTCCTCAATTGTGCTACTGTAAACTTTTATAAAAGGGAACTTGTTCTTCCCAATTTTTTGTGCGCTGTTTTATTTTTAGCCAGCGCAAAGCAAAGTACAATTAAAATAGTTTACATTACGCCAGCGACGGCGGCGGCGACTATTAAAAATTGAGAGAAATACCAAAAATTACCTAATTGAGGCAGCTGGCTGCACACCAGCACACACGGCGTATGCGTAATGTATTCAAAAATATCAAACAAAAATCCATGAAAGATGACTGACGACTCCTGCCAATGCAATTGGCACATGTTACAGTTTCTGATGCATTAAATTTTGTCTGTTAAGCTATAAGCTATAAGCTATAGCATATATAACAGTAGTATCTGTATTCTGCAGTATCTGGGCTAAAACAACAGTTTGGCTTCGTGGCAGAAATCGCCGCAAAAATTACTCAATAGTTTGTTGTTTTAAAAATAAACGCGAATCGAGCATTGTCTTTGAGTTTTTGGGATAGGGAGAGGGAGAGAGAAAGAAAGAGAGAGAGGAATAATAAGGGGGTTCAGCAACGAGACTAGCACACGCATCAAACGCAATTTTCTCAGGCTCAATATGCAAAAAAAGTACTTACGATTCTCTCGCCGTATATATGTATATATATATAGACACTGCACAATAATAAACAGACAGTGAGAACGCGAGTATGAAGTCATAGTCATCGAGGCAGGCAAAAAAGAAGAATTCTCCGTTTCGAAAATCAACCGATTCGCAGCGGATCTCAGACGATCGCCGGCATTGATAGCGTTCGCAACGAATCCGAATCGAATCCCCTGCCTAGTTATAGCCAATAAATTTAAATCCGACTCCGCGAGTGACTCAATTTTATAATACTACTAATACTTTCAAAACAGAGTTCAAAATGCAAAGCACGCGAAATAAGCAGGGGAAATAAGCCAAAATACGAGAAAAACTAAACGACAGAGATTGTAAAACGCCCACGCAAAACACACACACACAAAACTGCAATCTTCAAAAGTTAGCAAAAGAAAAAGAGTGGAAGAAAGCCAACCATGGAACGCCGCCAAGCCCTAGACTCATCGATGTCTTCACTCTTCTCGGTCGCCTCCTCCTCGAACAATCCCAATCCCAATCCCCGCCAGCCGCAGAATGTCCACCAACTGCAGACGCAGCAATCTCAGCAGTCGTCCCAGCTAGACGCCTTCAATTATTCAGCAACAATGTCATCATCGTCGCCGACTCCAAGTCAGGCCATGTCCACAGCCATGTCCACGGGAATGGGAACGGGATTGGGCACCACCCACACCACACCACCGCCGACAACCACCTCCAATTCGCTCGGCCTTAGAGCCACCACCATCGGCACCGTGGTCGTCCGTTGCGGACCCATCCAGCTGGTGATAGCGCTGCTACAAGTGAGTTGTTGTTCCCCTTGTACTCTACAAAGAAATAAAACTTCAAAAAACGAAACCAAACAAAACACCAAAACATAGCAACAGCAACGGCAAAACAAGAAAAAAAAAGGCCAAGAAATGGGAGACAAACATGAAGAAACATTTATCTAGATACGGAAGAAGTGTTCGGAGAAAGCTCTTGAAGTGCGCGCAAATTTATGCGGAAAGCGATATGCGATATGGGAGGACGAGGAAAGAGATTTGGGACATAGCATTGGCAGATCTTGAATAAATCATAAAGCCCAGAAAACTAGGAATCACTTTGTTAGATGGTAGTTTGAAAAATAGTTTAGGAAGACTTCTAAACTAAATTAAATTAAATTATGTAAAATGGTCTTAGCCTTTTACAACACTTTCAAAATATTTTATAATTCAAATATTCTTAATAATATCACTTAAACTATTGAAAAGTTTGGGAGAAGGTAATGGTAATTGGCCCAACTTATAGAAAAATTAATTCGAAAGAAATTACAAAAAAATAAGAAAATATTTACAAAAAAATTTTAATAAGCGGATAAAGAAGTTAATAGCAAACAAGCAAAATATTCACAATGAGTTATATTTCTGGGATAGCACTTAGCTAAAGAAACGCTTTGATTATTGAGAATGACACTATAAAAGCAGTTGAATGATATTATAGTTTAGATCAAGCTATTAATCTCTAGACATATTAAACCTGTCAAAATGACCTTTTCTAAAATACAAATGAGATACATGAGATAATCATTTCAATGACAATATAATCTTCTATGTAAAAAATAGTGATGCAATGTCTTAATGGAGGTTTCGATGAAGCTTCAAACAAATATATGGGGTTTTTCTACCTTTGCAATGTTGTGTAATAAATATGTCATTAAAAATATACTTAACAACTTCGTTAGCTTAATGGGAAATATAATATTAGCTTCTTATCAAAATATCTAACAAACATTTGACTTATTAACAACAAGTTAGATCATTTTGCAGCCCCTAACCAAGCCCTTATAAATTAAAGAATTTCAATTCCCACCTTATTTCCAACACTAATTGATAAATTCCTATAATTATCCATTAGCCATTAACTCCATCAAATTATGTGGCCGAGAGCCACCCATCGAGCTCAAAGACAACTATGTGACTTTAACAGTGAAAAATTCATGGGCTTCTTATGCCCAAAACTGGTTTACAATTTTCGATTGTTTAAACCGGCTTCCAGCAATTTCCGCGCCAATTAGCACTCGAACAACGAAAGCAAAAGTTGTTGATAGCGGGTTATAAATATTTGAAAAGCAGCAGCAGAAAAACAAACGCCACAAAAAGGTTCAAGGTTGTCTGACATCAGAGCGAAAAAAAAGATACAAGCCAAACTAAACGTGACAAAAAGAAATGTATCTGCCAGATACTTTCGACAATTAGGCGCAGCTGCTACCTGTCTGGTTTCAATACGAGCTGGCTGAATCAGTTTCTTAAGAGAGAAACTTGGTTTGGGTCTTCTCCACCAAAGAATGCCCCCACTTTTTGCTTTTTTGCCCCCTTTCAACTCGGTCGAACTTGAAGCTGCGACTTGAACTTGAGATTGAGAAACATTTCTGATGAAGCGCTACAAGTTTCATGCCCCGAAACAACAACAAAAAAAAAAAAACGCTCAATAATTATAGGCAGAGCATTGCTTTATCGTTTTTGGACTGCGGTTCCTTTTTTTCTGTTCATTCAACCAGCGGACTATTGAAATTTTCGGTGTGCCAATTTTTGCCTGCCGCTGAAATAATATTTGTTTCTTTATTCGCGATCTGAGACTCCATGTGTTAAACATTTGATTTGATTTACCATTTTTTTTCGCCCCCTACTTTTGATTTTCGAAATTATGCAAAAACATTTTCTGGCCAGCTTTTCAACACGTTTGTGTTTTATGCGTACTCGTGTTTCCATTGAAAACTCGGCAGCCTAAATAATTTTAAATTTCCGCTGGCCTGTTTGGAAAGTGAAATTGATTTCAGGAACGTACGTACTATAAACTAAAATGTTGCTAGGTAGTTGTTGTGTTTGTTGTTCTCAAACGGGTCCCAAAAAATGCTGTTGAAAATAAACAAGAGTGCCGATTCCTCTCACAGTTTCTCGCAGGTAAACAAATTAGCAACGGAACAGAGCCAAAAAAAGCTGAAATAAGAATAACAAAAAGTAAAAATAAATACACAATATTCCACAATAAAAGCTAGCAGATGTATAACGAAAACACAAAAAGAATGAAACAAATGTGTACTAGTATGAGCTAAAAAATGTTCGATGAAGTCAGCTTAATGTTATTGTTATAAATTCCACGTGGGCGATTCTTTTATATTTTTCTTTTGTAAGGGAGCGGGGCAGCGGAAGTTCTTCAAACTTTGTGCTTTAGCATAAGATTAAAGGAACAATAAGTTGGATGAATCCTCCTCATCCCTCTGTTCTATGCTTAAAACTATGCAAATATGTCTAAAGTTTTCCATCCTTTTTGGGTTCGCTTTTCGAAACAGGCAACAGTTCTTTCTTTCAGTTAGTTTTCCTTTACACAGAAAGTATTAATAGTATTTAAAGTTAATAATTTTTAGAATTTTTTTTTTAAATCTAGTTAATTTATAATTATTACTTTTATTTTATTTAAATTTCATTAAAAATTAAGCATGCATTTGAAAGTTTTTTATCAGGTCATATTAATTTTATAAATATTTAGTTTTTATAGTTTTTGCCTGTGCATTCAAACTCTAACTCGCAACAAAGTTGAATTATTAAGATTTCGAATGTTAAGTGCCGGAAGAAAATATGAATATCTGCAAAGTTTTTCGTGGCACAATGCGATTTTGTGGTGACCACATGAATGACATTTATTTGCCGGTGAAAAATAGTTGAGAAGATGTTCCGTTGAAAGAAACATTTTAGTCAAATGGCAGAAATTTCCCCAAAGGCGTTTCTTGGCCCAAAAACCCATTGTCTGTCAGCAAAGCGTTTGATTGGAACTTTATCTCCATGGGCAACTCAACTTAGCTCCTATTTAAATCGCCCTGACATGAAATACTATCAATTCTTTGGTTTGGGACCCCACCCTGAGCTAATTATCCAAAGACCATTCAACTTCTTGGCCATCGGAGGCATCAGTCTCGATGGCTGATGATTCGTTTTTGGCTCTGACGCAAATTTCGATTACAATGTTTGTTGACGCAACACGAAAATATTTACAAGTGTTTGAAATGCGGGAGAAAATGTTTCGGCCTGGTTACAAAACATTTCGTTTTATGTTCTGCTGGCTCTGAAAATGAAAAATTAACTTCAAGGCAATTAAAAAGAAAAGGCAGCAAAAGAGAAACTTCAAAGGCAGAAGATTAACATATTTGCTTAGCTAGACTCGCTCTCTAAATAAATAGATTTTCCTTGTCTGTTTGTGAAGCGTGCCTGGAGATCTCTTTTAATTGAATCTAATGCGCGAAACTAATTTTTTTGGTTTGGCTTTGGCCATAGAAAAGTAATTGGGGCGCGACTGGCGACCTGCTTCGGATCTTGGCTCTTGGATCTGGAGTCTTAAATTTTAGATCTGCTCGCAAATCGCAAATCGAATCAGGCTTTTGGCGCGATCTGCTCTGATTTGCACAAGAGGCGCCACCAAGAGGAAAAGGCTGAAAACTCTAATTGAATTTATGGCATTTTCATTTGTAAAAGTCGCAGCTTTTCAGCTTTTCAGCTTTTCACTCATAAATTGCCCAGACATATGAGCATGTACTTATGCCCGGTACTGTACGAGTTATGTACCATTATTGCCATGGACCTTTTGGCGTGGGTGAAATGCTGCAGCTGCGCACTGCGCGTGTGATGGCCGAAAGAGATGGCCGCATAGACGGCGAAAGAGACGGGTAGACGGGCGATAGAAAGCCGCAGCCAAACCAAAAGGCTCGAAAGAAAGAAATGTTTACGACGCTTGGCAGGCACATAAATTTACGCATGAAAAGCTCGCGCATTCCGCCCGCTCGCCAAAGTCTTGCGATCTTAAGATCGGATTTGGCCAGGGAACGGGGCCAGAAACTGTGACTGTGACTCGCCGACAGGGCCGCCATTCAGTCACGTGAATGTGATTTGTCACTGCGATTTATGATCTCTGGTTCGGCCAGGTAAATTACAAGGGCGCGGTTGTCATTATCTTGTTGCAAGAGCTTTGAGGTCTTGAAAAATACTCTAAAATCAATCAATTTTGCAAATGATTCACGGGTCATTAAGAAAAATGTCGTGACTAGAAAATGTATATTTATTTAGCTTTCAAAACCGTCCTTGAGTTATCATCATTATTGGGAATGTGTCACTGCTTAGAAGTAAAATTTGGATTTTTTTAAATTTACTTAAATTAAACCATTAGAAAAACCTCTAAACCATGATATATCCTATTATTTATTTATTATCAAGATAGAAAATAGAGCATTCTTTTTCTGAACCTTAAAAGTTTTAAAGAAAATAATTTTATCTTTTTTTTTGCGACCCAAAAACATCTTAATAAATTTAATTTTATAATAAATTTGATTGATAAGTATAAACAACTAAAAACCAAAATTTTCTTAATGCAGGCATGTAAAGTCTCTGATTACTTGTCCACAAATGCATCAATATATCTCCCGATTTCAGAAACTCTCTATCGATTCTCGTAGATTTTTATTACACTTCTATAAGATGTTTTAATTTAAACAAATAAAAACATTAAGAGAAGACTAGAGTTCGCGTCCAAAGCAGGCATACGCAAATAATTCAAGACAGTGATTTCGAAACCACTTCTTCATTCGCTCGATGGCGTGTCACGGTGAATGGGCCGTAAATCTTATCAGTAATTGAAAAATTCCAGCCCTAACTGACAGTATCCACACCAAGAGCTGGCGGTGGAGTGTCGTCAACATTTTCGAGCGCTAAAAATAATGTATTCTATGCGCAGACGCAGTCTCGCTGCCTCCTCGCATTTTGAGCTTGGCTTGGCT